TGAGGACAAGAAGGTCTGGGAAGAGGCATATGGATGGACATTTTAGGAGTAGGCACAAAGCATGAAAGCCTTTTGTATCACACATTAGGACCCACCACAAAGCATCTACCATAGAAGAAAACTGAACACACAAGTAGATTAAGTGACTCAGCCACTTTGTCATTGGCCATCCTGGAACTGGCTTAATAGGCACATCAAGGAGTTGGTCACAATGGCAAAGACAGAGGCTATGCATAGGCCCAACAGCATGGCCTCCGTGTACCATCGCTATTCTAGCTACTGCTACCTCTGAATGTCCAATCTGCCAGCAAGAGACCAATGCTGAGTCCCAGATATGAGGAGATCAACCAGCCACTTGATGGCAAATCAACTATATTAGGCCCTTCCCATCCCGAGAGAGTCAGCAGTTCATCTTCACAGGGGCAGAGCTCTATTCTGGGAATAAGTTAGTTACTCTTTTCTGCCTACAGAACCTGAGACAGCACCAATATCCAGAAGTTCAGACCTGATCATCAGGTATGGAATCCCATCCAGCATGGCTTCCAACCAGCGCGTCCATTTCACAGGGAAGGAAGTTAGGGAGTGGGCCCATGATATTAGGATCGACTGGTTATCTATATACTGCACCATTCGGAAACTGCCAACCTCACAGAGCACTGGAATGGCCTACTGAAGGCACAACTGAAGCACTAGCTTCAATAATCTGAGGCAATAATATGCAAGGATGGGGGAGTGCCATCCTTCAGGATCTAATGCATTAAATCAGAGACCTGTATGTGGTACTGTGTGTTCCTAAGGAAGAACACATAGGTCCCAAAACCAAGAAGCAGGAATGGCCACAGTTACAATCACTTCCAAAGACCCACTGAGGGAGACTGTGCTTCCTGATCCTTGAACTCTGGGTTCTGTAGGGTTGGAAGTGCTGGTCCCCAGGAAGCGCACTCTCTTGCGAGGGAACTAAGTTCTATAGGTCCCAGTACCCTGCCATCAGGGTCATTTGGACCACTTGTGTCTAAGGACCAGGAGACCAAAAAAAGTCACCATCTTGGCAAGATCATTAAACCTGAACAGCAGAAGGTGGCAGGGCTGCCTTTATACATTAGGGATGGGTAAAACACATGTGAAGCCCCTGGCTTCTTAGCAAAATTACTGATTCCAAGTCTAGGACAGAAAATGTACAAGAAGAGCCTGTAGCATCTTGAAATACCAGAAAGCAACCACTAGTCATCTCAGGAGCCAACTTAAAGAGGCTCCCAACAGCCAAATAGGAACAATAATAATAATTGCAATGGGATGAAACCATCAACTACATTTAAACCCGAGTTCATCATCGTATTTTTTTTAAATGCCACCTTCTGAGGATAACAGGGAGCCAAGTCCAGTTCGTTATCTTTTTTTTTTTAATTTTTTTTAATTGATTTTTTACAGAGAGGAAGGGAGAGAGATAGAGAGTTAGAAACATCGATGAGAGAGAAACATCGATCAGCTGCCTCCTGCACATCTCCCACTGGGGATGTGCCCGCAACCCAGGTACATGCCCTTGACCGGAATCGAACCCGGGACCTTTCAGTCCGCAGGCCGACGCTCTATCCACTGAGCCAAACCGGTTTCGGCCCAGTTCGTTATCTTAAAAGTTGAGTAAATAAAATTACACACTTATCCTGCTTTTCCTATACAAACTTTGAGAGATCAAATAGGTGAAGGGCAGCATTTCCTAATAAAATTACTTCATCTAATAAATTAAAACAAAACGATAGGTTAGAATATCTCTATGTTGCATTGCCCCCACCCAAGTAAATTACTTATAGGATGTAGGCATTGAGCATCAATGGCTGCTAACATCAAAAAAGTAAACACCATCCCTCACCGGTTTGGCTCAATGGATGGAGTGTCTGCCTGCAGACTGAAAGGTCCCGGGTTTGATTCCAGTCAAGGGTACATGCCTGGTTTGCAGGCTCGATTCCCGGTGGAGGGTGTGCAGGAAGCAGCCAATCAATGATTCTCTCATCATTGATGTTTCTCTCTCTCTCTCTCCCTTTCTCTTCCTCTTTGAAATCAATAAAAATATTTTTTTTAAAAAAGTAAACACCAGACATGATATGCCTCTTGATAAATGAGCATACGACCATCTAGAGTTCATCAAACCTGAGGCAGATCAGGTCTCTGGCTCTAGCTGCTCATTTGCAGAAAACGCAGAGATGATGGAGCACAGTAAACTGCACCCTAGCATAAAATTAGCAAAATCCAGACTGGAAAACTACAGATCAATGGGCCAGGTTCCTCAACAGATAAACTGTAAAAAAAAAAAAAGGGTGTGTGTGTGTGTGTGTGTGTGTGTGTAGAAGGGGCCCTTTAGATTAAACAAAACTTAAAAGCTGTATGAAGTTTTTTAAAAATGAGGCTGAAAACTATAGTGTGTAAGGATACACACTTGGGTGATAAAACAATAAAGAAACTTGCCGTGGCCAGGTTTTCTCAGTGGTTAGAGCATCAGCCCTCGGACGGAAAGGTTGCGGGTTTGAGTCCAGTCAAGGGCATGTACCTCAATTGCAGGCTTCATCCCTGGCCCTGGTCAACCAATCGATATGTCACTGTCATATCAATGTTTCTTTCTCTCTCTGTCTCTCCCTTCCTTCCACTCCCTCTAAAAATCAATGGAAAAAATATCCCCGGGTGAGGATTAACAAAAACAAACAATAAAGAAACTCACGTGAGTGATTATTACTATAATGTCAAGAAGTTGAATGGAGGGAGGTAGCTGGGACTGGGATGGGGAGCAGGGGAACATGGAGCTCTGGGGAGACTGATAAAGCTCTATTCTTGACCTGGGGTGCTCCCCTGTCTGTCTCAGACTCTTCTCTAGCACTAGACTTCCTATAATATTCACTATCTAGCAACTTCACAGCTCCATCCATGCCTTTGCTCCTGCTGTTCTCTCTACATGTATCTCACTTCCCCACAGCACTTGCCTCTCAGCTCCTTAAGGACAAGAGGTCTGGATCTCAAGTCAGGAACCAGAACAGGGCTTAATACGATAGGTTAATTATAACCACCAACATTTATCAAGCACTTAGTATACACCTTATCCTATTGCAAGCATACAGGTAGAGCCATTTAGTCCTCACAACAACCCTATGATGCAGGCACTGTTATCATTCCCATTTTATAGATGACTGACATTCGGGAGTTATGTAGCTTGCTCTAGATGACAGTAACAGAGCAAGGATTCAACCTAAGAACTTTGGCTCCGTAGTCTTAACCACTGCCAATGAATTCACTTATTCCACAGATTCTTATTGGTTACCTACCATGTGCCAGTTGCTACTTAGTGAACAAAGCAGACCATGTCCCTCCCTTATAAAATACACATTTAGAATTAGCAATTAATGAGTATAATGATTGTGTTAGGAAGGAAAATAAAACAAAATGAGGGGGTAAAAAGTGACTGACCTGTTGGTATTTTAGAGCAGTCAATGTAGGTCTCTCTGATGACATCTGAGCAGAGACCTGCATCAAATAAGGGAGTAGTGGTCAATGGAAAAGCCACAAGCCTAGAGTGACAGTTCTGGTAACTACAAACTGCTTATGAAATAGTGTGGCCTTAGGCAAGTGATTAAACTCTGAGTTTGCTTTCCTCACCTGTAAACCAGGGATAATCTACAGAGTTGTGAGGAAAGAGGTGTGTGTGTAAAGCATGACTTAAGGACACCTCTGGCCTAGGCCCATAAGAGCCATAACGTAGATGAGGTCCATGCTGCCCTTCTCACCCAGCCAGAAATCCCCCTTCCTGCTCCAGAAGCTCCACTTCCAAAAAACCTGAAGACTACCCTTGGCCTTCAGTTAGACAGCTGTAGTGCAGCCCACTAATGCCCCCTGCCTGCAGGATGCTGCACTGCAGCTGTCTTAGGAGCCTCCAGTCCCCTTGGTCATCTCTTTAAAAAGCCTTATCTGGCACTCACCACCTGCCCGACACCAGGGACTAAATGAACAGAGACCCTCTCTGCCCTCTAGGCGCTCAGGCTAGGAAGTGGCCCCAACATGAAGGCAGCAATGAAAAATGAAGGAAATGCCAACATCTAAGAAACTATAGGAGCACAATGAGGGAATGATCAACTGTGCCCACAGGAATTAAGGAAGGCTTTATGATGGGTGACTCCTAAAGTACACCTTGAACAATGAACAGGAAGTGGGCACGAGGGGAGGCAGAGTGAACAGCACATGCTGAAATCAGGGAAACACAAGAAGATATTGGTTTGAGGTGTTCTACCTGATCACTGTCTCCATAAAGCAGCTTGGTTGAAGAGCTGGTTCCCAACACTCTCATAAAGCTACACCTGCCATCCCAGGAAAAGTAAGCCCCTGTCTCAAGAAAGAGCTTTTTTCCTGAGGGCTGACAGGATCTCAAGTGTCCTATGTTCCCACCCCTACCCCTCAAGAAATGGCCCATCCTGCCTGTCAAGTGACGATCTTTGCAACCTTGGCCAGGTGTTTGCCCCTGTCTAGCCCAGTGATGGCGAACCTTTTGAGCTCGGCGTGTCAGCATTTTGAAAAACCCTAACTTAACTCTGGTGCCGTGTCACATATAGAAATTTTTTGATATTTGCAACCATAGTAAAACAAAGACTTATTTAAATGCCATTTAACAAAGAAAAATCAACCAAAAAAATGAGTTCGCGTGTCACCTCTGACACGCGTGTCATAGGTTCGCCATCACTGGTCTAGCCTTTTTCTTTGTAGAGTAGGAAAATAACCCCCGTGTGCATCCCTCTCAAATAACCATGTGAGTTAAGAGCTGTGACAGCTCCTAGTGCTGCAGCGGGAAGGACCCAGGAGACACCACCCCTCAGAGGCATCCTGGGCAGCCCACAGCCCTGAGCCAGCGAGCCAGCGGGGAGAGGGGAGAGAAGCGATGCTGCAGCCCGGTCCTCAGTGGTGAGACCACACTGCACCCTCCGCCGCCCACTGCTCATAAACCCCCATAAAAATCAGGGACCATGCAGTTTTGTTTCAGGTGTTTTATTAAGTGGGCCATACTGTAGCTGGTTTCTAAGTTGCAAAACAACATAAATTTAACAATAATATAGCCAGTTAGACTGTGACAAGCTTTTTCTTTCCTTAAAAAAAGAAAAAAAAGAAAGACTTAAAACACACAATGGAGGGTTAAATAAATAATATGGGGGGAAAGGAAAACCTGTTAAAACATGCTTGTTTACTTCTGCGCAACTGCGTGCCAAGAGGAAACGTGATTTTTCTGCATAATGAAACATCTTAGCATGTCTTCTTCCCAAATAATACTGACAAAAAAAAGAAAAGAAAAGATGTGGACTGACTTGTCAGTGCTTGAAGAGGCACTACTAAAAATCCCTTTGATTGGAGCTTCGGGCTTCCACTCAGCACACCTGTGTGTGGCCCAGGAAAGCCAAATATCCATAATAATGTTAATATAGAAAACATTAGTTAAAAACGATGTGGAATGGCCTCACTGACGCATCAGGGCAAGGAAGCGGAACTGCCCTGCACGCGGTGCCAACCTCAGTCCAGGGAGGCCGCAGGCTCCCAGCACGCGGCCACAGCGAGGGAGGGCACCAGCTTCAAAATAAGCGGCACCAACCTCGTCTCCCTCTCCCTATCACTCTTTCACATGAAAGTGTGTAAAAAGCAAATCAGCAAATAAACTCTAAAATAGATTATTTATTCCAAAAATCCTCTAGTTTTCTTTTTACAGTGAGTGTACATCTCCGTCTCCTGCACAACTCGCTTAAGTCCTTGGGGAAGACGGGTCAGAGCTGCAGGGTGAGTCTTTCTCAGTCCTGTTGCTAGCTGGTGCTGAGAGGTCAGATGTCGATGCCCTTGACCAGGGACGTCTCTAGCGTGATATTGAACTCCTGCAATGTCTGCAGCACGCGGATCAAGGAATTGACAAGAGTGTGGTCTTTGATCAGCGCCACATCCTCATACATGTGTGCGGTGATGGGGCAGTCAGCCAACAGGGCAATCCAGTGGTGTAGGAGGTGATCTCTGGCAGGGCAGGATCAGTCCAGGTGGGTCAGAGGGAAAGAAAGGGAGACAGTTAGTGCAAGGCCAAGGGGAAACCTTGAACAAAGTCTGAAGCTGGAGAAGTGGATAGCTCCCCACAACCCCTTTTTTCCTCCAATAAGGGCTTGGGAAAGAGGCCTTACACAGCAATAAAAGACTCCTACTGAGGGCTGCCCTGCCCCAGGACACCAGCCCAACCTGACCCAAATCAGCCCTGACATCTGCCACCAGGCCTGTTCCTCTTTAGATAACCCCGCCACCAAACAGACACCAAGTCCAGTCAGCACCACTACATCCATCTCAACAGCCAGTCTCTAACCAATAGCAGCCAATCCTTCCTCCCCACAGCTACCACCACCAGGAGTGATACTGAGAGCTAACATCCACATAGAGCTCGGCATGTACCAAGCACTGTTATAAGGTATTTAACCGTCATTCCACCCTATGATATGATATAATGCCGTTAGTGCTGTTATAATCCCCACTTTATACAAGAAGAAACTGAGGAGCATAGAGGTTAAATAGCTTCTCCAAGATCACACGGTTATTAAGTGGCTGATGTGGGATGTGAATCCCACACCAACTCCCTGCCTTTTGTGCCTGTACAAACTATTGCTTTAGGTTCATTAGGGCTTCATGCTCTCACCTGACCTACTAGACTAGCCCCTAACGATCTTGCCCACTCTCATGCACACCATCCATGATATCAAATTAGTATCATTTCAGTCCCCTGGTTAAACAACTCTATCCTAACAGGGAAGGATCCTCTGGCTCAGGTCCTTAGCGCCTCCTCCCTGAAGCCTTCTATGATCTTTCTCCTCTATATTTCCAGCATACTGTATAATATAAATGTGTACCTCTTGTTGGGCTCTCACAACCTCCTGCCTTGTACTGTATTTAATTGGGACAAGTAAACTTCCACACGGTAGAGGCATGTTTCATTCAGCTCTATTCACACCATCTCTATTCCCACCATCACGAGGCCTGGCACATTCATATGTTTGTTGAAGGAATGACTATATATACTCTTTTAAATTTCTCCAGTGGGGTGGTTTTATTCCTTCCATCAACATGTGGCTCTTGGGCCTGGTTGGTATGGCTTATTCATTGAGCTTTGACCTATAAACCGGGAAGTCACAGTTCTATCCCGGTCAGGGCACATGCCCGGATTATTGGCTTGATCCCCAGTGGGGGGGGCGGGGGGGGAGTGCAGGAGGCAGCCAACTGATCAATGATTCTCTCTCACATTGATATTTCTCTCTCTCTCCCCCTCTCCCTTCCTCTCTGAAATCAATATATATAATGTATATATATTTTTAATGTGGCTCTTCTTCCCCAGCTACACACACTCTCACCCCCACCTCCACAGATCCCCACCCATATGCATGGTACATAAAGGAAATTAAGGGGTTCTAGGAAGTCCTCTAAGGCCTCACCTGCCCAAGAATGCCTGGTCACCAGCCACTCCCCACCCCTGCACCACACTAGGACTCCAGCACCACTTCCAAGGCTGGCTGCTATGTACTCTGGGCTTGAGGCTGCAGTACCTGGCTCCCAAGCACACCAGCATCTGGAATTTGCCATCCTTGCCAATGTTCCGGGGAGTATTGTTGATTGCAGTGACAAATCGGCAGAAATTCCGGGCCCTTGTATGCCAATTTTCCTCAGGAACAACTTCATTCTGCTCCAAAGTCTCATAATAGGTTTGTGCTTTTTCTGTGAAGAGGAGAAAGCTTGCCGATGACAAAGCCTCTTAAAGCCGACCTGTCTCTGACTGTCCTGCAGGCCACCAGCCGTGGGCATCTCAATGTTGATGATGTTAGTAACTTAATGAGAATAACATGAGTGTTCTGATGTCACTCATCACCTTTCAAAATGATTCCTATATTCCTTATCCTTATTTTTAAAATTTACATGGCCCCTGATATAAAGATGCTACTTTCTCTAGTCTTAAGATTTCTAAAAAACTCTTGAAGGAGAAGCTCCTTGCATAAAAATTCTCTAAGTGGGCTCAACACAGGGCTTGGGCTGGCCTTCTAGATCTCCAAGAAAAGAGTGTGAGGACTCATGACTAAGCCTGTGCTATACAACAGATGCTTAGAGAACCTTCTCCATCCGGTTCTCAGGAGGTGAGGGGTGAAGGTGGGGAGAACTTCTGTCATTACTTTGGGGAAAGGCAGGGCAAACAACAAGATCTAATCTGAGAGTTACCTGATTTGGCTT